TAATTGTTACAGTTACTCAATATCTGAGAGGCTGACTATCGTTTAAGTTATATAGTGTAGCATGTACTAGTTAGAAAGGAAAAATGATACGGGTTTTTAGAGCAAGTCCTATACATTGTGTAACTGTTTTGTTAAAAGGTCTTGCTGCAATGGCAAAGGTAATACTAGCAATGGAGGAGGGAGCTGTTCCTGGAAACCTGCATTACAATGAGCCAAATCCAGACATTCCCGGCCTGATTAATGGGAAGCTCCAAGTTGTGACTAGCTCTATGCCACTTCCCAGGGGCAGCTTTATTGGCATTAATTCATTCGGGTTTGGTGGTGCCAATGTCCATGTGATTCTAAAGGGTCCAAACAATGTGAGGTAAGTACTGTTAAAAATATATACCTATATATTCATCTACACGTCAACTATTCAACACAGTTATTGTCTCATCACTAAGAGATATTTTATGATATAGTTACAATACAATGTACGTGTGTGAGTGGGCATCCACATACGCGCATGGTGCATTGTTTTTGTTCTATGACTATATAGTGTGTACGCATCATGTTTAGACCACAAATGATGAGCGATGAGGCGCAGCTAGTCACGGTAGCAGGAAGGACACCAGAGGGAGTTGAAGGCATACTGAGAGCAGCCGAGGAAAACTCACATGACATGGAGTTTCTCGCGTTGCTGAATCGTGTATATGCCAGTCCCACCAGTCTGCATCCGTACAGGGGTTACACGGTGCTTAACACTAGCAAGCAAAGCACCGATGTGCAGGTACGCTTCACTCCATAGCCGAGTTTTAGTCATCGTTATTAAATGAATGCAAGTATAGAAGTACATGGGTAAAGGTTGGTGATGTTTAGTATATAACACATTAACAATTAGTTACGTGTGATTCTTCAATCTTCTCATCTACCATGTGCAGTAGCATTTTACATGTTTTGGACCATTTCATTCCAGATTAAGTTTAGACCTTACATTCCAGTATGATTGTTGTTCTGTGCCTTAATTTATTCATTTGTGTTGACTCATGTGTGACACTTGTCTCCACTTGTGTGACACATGTTTCATTGATGCATGGATGACTTTTGTATCTATGTGACACTTAATTGTCTCTCAATGTGTTTGTGTGACACCTGTGTCTAGCTAACATGTGGGTGACACTTGTCTCTAAGTTGACACGTGTTGTGACACTTGACGCATTTCTGACATTTGTCTCTTGCTGATATGTGTGTGACACCTGCCGGTGCACTGACGCATGTTGTGACACTTGCCTGTACATTGACGCATGTTGTGACACTTGCCTGTGCGTTGACACATGTTGTTACACTTGCCTGTGCGTTGATGCCTGTATGTAATTATGTCTCTTGTCATGCAGCGTGTCAGCAGTGAGGCTCGTCCCGTTTGGTTCGTCTGCTCTGGCATGGGCGTGCAGTGGCCGGGCATGGCGCGCGACATGATGCGCGTGCCCGCCTTCAAGCAGACAATGCTGCGGCTAGCTGACACGCTCACGGGTCACGGGGTCGACCTCTGTGACATCATAGCGTCAGGCGAGGAGAAGATGCTGGAGAGCACACCTGTTGCCTTCGCCGCAATAGCCGCCGTACAGGTGAGCGTGCGTGACCGCGTACGACATGCTGATGATAACAGTGTCAATATGACATTGAGTTAACAGTTATATTCCCTGAGAAAAATCAGTCACAGTGCAGCTAGCTACTGCAAGTTTTGAGAGAATGAGAAAATTCTGAAAAGCACCCCACAGGCAAGCCCCCATGTATATGAAATATATGTTTGCAAATAATATTAATGAATAATTCAGTATAATAAGTTCAGTTTACGTTATGCACGATAGCGGTTTGTGGTAATGCCCACGAAGTCGATAAAACGTTTTCTGAAAGGTTGGGATTTCGAGTTAAAAACTCGTCTTTGAACACAGGTGGCGTTGATTGATGTTTTGCGCTCTCTCGGCATCTATGGCGATGGTTTCGTCGGTCACTCGGTCGGTGAGTTGGCCTGTGCCTATGCAGACGGATGCCTGACTGCAGAACAGACCGTACTCTGTGCCTACTGGAGAGGAAAGTGCGTGAGCGAAGCCAAGCTACCGGCTGGCAAGATGGCTGCCATCGGTAAGTAACATGTTAATCCTCCGAATATAGTTGTACTGTGTTTCTGCTCCACCTTATATATCATATATTTATTAATTATTTATTTAACAATTAAGTGTTTCTGGTGGAACGTTTTCTGGTTAACCACATATTATACTGTATCTTCCTTGTTTGTTGTTCCTTGAAGAGGTCTTATTGAGTGGTAGTGAGTTTTTCCGTCTAACTGTCATATATTGCAGTATATTATTAACGGTAGTTGGAATTACCATCGGAGTCTCTTACAAATGAAATGCACACTCTATAATATCATAAACATGCATGAAAACACACAGAGACAGAGGCACACATGCACACATATACTATAAGATATTTATATATACATATATACGTGTTCACGTGCGTGTGTGTAGGCTTGACGTGGGAGGAGACGAGGCGTCGCTGTCCGGCTGACATTGTCGCCGCGTGTCACAACTCTCGCGACAGTGTCACCATCTCAGGACCGGCTGCGAGCGTTGACGTCTTCATGGCTGAGCTGCGAGCAGACGACGTGTTCGTGAGAGAGGTGGCGAGCTCAGGCGTTGCCTTCCACTCTCACCAGATGGCGCAGATCGCTCCCAAGCTCAAGGCTGCGCTCCTTAATGTACGAAGACAGACCACGGTTTCCTCCAAAGTCACGAGTCTAGCACGTTTAATGTCTGCTTTTACTCAGCGTTTGTTATTAATGTTCTATTGTGCATTGAATCGGTTAATTGTCAGTATTCAGCGTAAATGAATATTTTCAATTTTGTTCTTGATTAAATATTTTTTATCTTATTAAATTGATGTTAACATTTATATTATCAGGAGTGTATCAATTTTGATACACTCCTGATATTATCTAAATGGTTAAACTTAAATTAATTAGAACAAGTTATATAGGGCTGTTTAACTAAGTGTGCAAAACAGACATCTGTATAAGTTATAGGTATCACGTAAGAATATTTTCTTCTTGTGCGTGCGATGTCTGATATTGAGTATGCCTCGTATGCGCTGCCTTTTGTCTCGTGAGGATGGGTGGCTGCGTATCTCGCTGTGACGCGTGCCATGCTTACCGTATAGGTGATCAAACAACCCAAGCGACGGACTGCAAAGTGGATCAGTACATCTATTCCAGAGAGCAGGTGGGATTCAGCCCTGGCCCAGCTGTCGTCTGCTGACTACCACGTCAACAACCTAGTAGGTGCATGCGTGCGGGTGTTGTCACCCATGCGTATATTCTACTTCAAATCTATATGCAATACTCACAGCATATAATGTAATATAATGATTCCTTGTGCAGTACGTTTCTATTGCTCGGATGCATCCTTTCCCACTGATTTATTCGTCGCGAGGGCGGTACATCGATCACGGCTACAATCTCGTTTCCTATTGCAGGTGAGCCCAGTACTGTTTCAGGAGGGACTGACTCATGTGCCGGACAACGCGGTCGTGATTGAGGTTGCCTCCCACTGCTTACTGCAGGCCATATTGAGACGGTCCCTTAACGATGGGACGACGATCATTGGTCTGCAGAATCGCAGGGAGGAAGACAACATCAAGTTCTTCCTGACCAGCATCGGAAAGTAAGATTCTTTCATTTGAAATATTATATGATAAATAATACATGTAGTATACTAATATAAAAAGAGCACACAATTATTCTTAAAATATTATATGATATATATATAATACGTGTAGTATATTGATATAAAGTGACCACTTCTTACCGTCAATGTTCATTATATTAAGGAAGTTGCATGTGGTTACTCAGCATGCTGAAGTAGGAAGCCAGAACTGCAGCATCACGTATCGGATCTCTCCTGTTTTGAGTGATGCACTGCTTTGTATGAACAGGTGTTACGTGAGTGGAGTCAACCCGGCGACATGCAAGCTGCGGCCGTCGGCACCGCACTTCCCCGTGTTGCAGGGAACAGCAATGCTGGGTCCTCTCATCTCGTGGGATCACTCACAGACGTGGGCCGTGCCCACACAGGACGAGTTCATCGTGTAAGTATCGCCGCCGCGACTGTGGGAAGACTTCGTGACAATGTCGACGTGGTGGTCGATGTGGGTGACATGTGTATGATGTGGCAGGTCTCACAGATGTGTCATGTCTCATGACCTTAGGTGTATGTGTTGTGACCTTCGTGGTACATCAGGGGACCTATGTGATTGTTTGATGATCTATATGTACCATAGCTAGTGAGCATAGTGGCAGTTCCCGTTACCTCTAGGCACGGCTTGCTAAATTATCTCCGATCTCATTCCAGCACCAACGGCATGGGCGAATGTAAGTTTGAGATTGACCTCTCGGCGACCTCACCTGATCTCTACTTGCTGGGTCACGCAATCGATGGCAGGGTGTTGTTCCCGGCGACCGGTTACCTGGTGCTGGTGTGGCGCGCGCTCGCCAAGATGCGGCGACAGTCGTACGAGAGCATGGCCGTGGAGTTCAATGACATCGACATCCAGAGGGCGACAGTGATACACGCCGACGGTAGGTGGCGCATCAAATTGTCAGTCGTGAGTTTATGTGATTCAGGCTATCTCTTTTTAGTTTGTGGTTACTATTTGATACTGTGTTGGTGCGTGCGTGCGACCGTGTGTGTCTGTGACCGTGTGTGTGTGTGTGCGCGCGCGCGCGCGCGCGTGTGTGTGTGTGTGTGTGTGTGTGTGTGTGTGTGTGTGTGTGTGTGTGTGTGTGTGTGTGTGTGTGTCGTGTGTTGTGTGTGTGTGTGTGT